TATATATATATTTATATATATATATATATATATATATATATATATATATATATATATATATATATATATATATATATATATATATATATATATATATATATATATATATATATATATATATATATATATATATATATATATATATATATATATATATATATATATATATATATATATATATATATATATATATATATATATATATATATATATATATATATTTTTTTTTTTTTTTTTTTTTTTACTTTGTTTAATATATACTTTCAAAGGGGTCAAATGACTATAGGGTAAAAAAATTGTTGAAAAATGAAGCTACTTTAATAGCTTTAGTATTTAACAAAGTATAAATGAAATTACCTTAATATCGCACCGCAATATATCGCAGATTTTTATTTGCAATATCAGTTTTTTTCTAATAGGCCATCCCTGTTTGCAATATATAAATGTTGGCGAGTTTTCCCCAAATAATAACACAACACCCTAAAGCAGATTATTTTTTTGGAGGATGAAGAGCAAGAATAATTCTTGGACGATGCTTTGGGGGAATTAAAGCACTTTTTTTATTTAATTTTTTGCTAAATATATAGTTAACGTGATTGTCTGTGTATAGAGTCAATACAATGCTAACACATGAAAGATATAGTACGGTAATTTATATTTCATATATTTATCTATTGTGAAATGCACTGAAAAAAGATAACAAAAATTATGTCTACAAATTTGTTGCAAACAATCTATGTGTTGAATTTAAAACACAAATTCTAACACAAATTAAAGTTAGTAATGTTCAACTTTGTTTAAACTCAGCCCAACGAAATTGTTTGCAACCACTTAACTTGTTTTAGTAAATCCAAGGAATAATCTTTTCAATCTTTTTTTTATTAAATGACTTGATAAAAGTGTGTATAATTAAAGTTATATAACACTATAGCCTTTGGTATAAATGTACTAATGTGAAATACGTATTTTATGAATGAAAGTGGTGTATTTTGAGTCTTTGTGTTTTTGGACTCATTTTGTTGTGAAAACCTGGCAACCCTAGTCACCTACATAGGGCGTTTCAAACACTTCACTCAAACATTTTCACCTAAGTAGTCATTTCACGGAGTTATCACCAAAATAACAGTACTTCTTTCTGCAAACCCTGACAATGTGCTGTAAAAAAAAAAATCTTTCGTTTAAAGGGTAAACAAGAATTCCGAGTCTTCGGGAGAGAAAAAAAAAACTTGTTGCAACGTGATTGGGATTTACCATACACTTCACTGAAAATGAAATCAAAAGTCTACCCTTTATACCCTTTATACCAAATAAATTTGCAGAGTTCTTAAAGGGACAGTTCACCCAAGAATTAAATGTATATAATATCAAAATAAATAAAGGGGAAAACAGCACAAGGGAAGATATTCTGAGTAATGCAGGAAAAAGCAGCGATTGACTTCTATAGTATATATTGTTCCTACTATGAATGCTGATGGAGTTTTCCAAGAGTATCTTGTTTTGTGCTCAACAGAAGAAAATTAAACATACCACATATGACTACATAACACATATGAAAAGTCCACTAAACTAAGCAAATGCATATTACCGAGTTGTCCTCTTTACACCGGCTGCCTGTTCAGTTTCACATTGAATTTAAAATATTGCTTCTTACATATAAAGCTTTAAATAATCGAGCTCCTGTTTATCTAACCAACCTTCTGTCTCGCTACAATCCAACTCGCTCTTTACGATCTTAAAACTCAGGGCTTCTGGTAGTACATAGAACAGCAAAGTCCACTAAAGGAGGTCGAGCCTTCTTATTTATGGCTCCTAAACTCTAGAATAGCCTTCCTGATAATGTCCGAGGCTCAGACACACTCTCTCAGTTCAACACTAGATTAAAGACCCTATCTGTTTAGTAAAGCATACACTCAATGCATCACTTAGCAGTATGATAAATGAATGTGCTCCACACAGGTTTCTGCATCTCGTTTATAAACACTATGAACAGCAGCTACGCTAATTATTCTCTTTATTCTCCATTTCCACCTGGGGATACTCATCCTGAGACCCTCAGACTATGCAGCGCCACTGATGCGATCCAAGACCAGCGACGAGATGATCCCAAGGTTTCCATAATCCTGGACCAGGCCGTATCCTGAGCAGCTGCTGTGGTGGTCATGGAGGAGTGGAGAGCATGAGACTGATTCCTGTGACGCTCCAGGGACAGACGAGTCTTCAAGCCTCCGGCGCCTAGACTGCAGCTCTGCACAAGACGTTTGGCCAGAGGAGAAATGGTGGTGCCCAAATGAGCCTGGGTTCTCTGCAGGTTTTTTAATTATTCACTTTCGCCAATCCGCTTGTTAAGTGTGACGTCACGCGAAGCGGCTTCCGGGTCCAAGTGCTCTATTCAACTGAATGGGGAGACTCATGAAATGGTAATAATAAACGTTTACAAAGCGATTTAATGCTTTCGAAAATCACGATCGCAATATATACGTCCATGCCTAATATCCGATGGCCAGAAAGTGATTATGTTTGTATAAATTGTTAAATTTTTGGTATTTGTTATGCAGTAAGCCCAGAGATTGTTGTGTACACTATGACTTTATGTAAAATTAACTTTAATGTGTGATAGGAATAAAACGTGATCATAAACGAAGGATTTCTCCACTCAACTGAATGGCGGCTTGGACCCGGAAACAGTATTACATACGTCACAAACACGACATCACTTAACAAGCGGATTGGTGAAGTTTGTTCCATAAGACTTTCCTTCAGGACTTGTAGAGCTGCACATCGATGAATTTGCTCTTCAGAGTTTGGACTCTCTCAGTGGTGATTATTAAACCACACTGAACTGAACTGAACTTAAACACTGAAAAATTAACTACAGTTTCAATTTACTATGATCTTCTATGTAAAGCTGCACAATCTACACTGTAAAATGCTATAGAAATAAAGGTGAACTGAATTGATCGAGAGACTTTTTATACCATCACTGAGGAGATGACAGATGTTTACTGTATGATGACTGAAATCACCTTAAGCGGTAACGAAAAGCACTACAGAATGTTACGTTTACACACACACACATACTCAAACTGCATGTAAATGCATCAACCTTTCGCACTACTCTTGAGTACTTTAAGGGTCTACTCACACTATGCCATCCGTACCGTGCCCAGGCCCGTTTCCCGGATCGTTTGAGAAGTGTGAGTGCGCTGATTCGGGCTCAAGCACGGTTCACTTGGTCGGCCCTGGCCCGGTTGGAAGAGGTGGGCCTGAGCGCGGTTCACTTGGGCTTTGGCGCGGTACGCTTGTGTGTGAGTGCAAAACGCGGCAAATCCCGAAACTGAAAGCGAGACGTGACTTTTAAGGGACTGTTTGATATGGATTAATAATCATTCTTACTGTTCAGTGAACGCAAACTGCCGTAGTTTATTAAAGACGCAAACCCCTCACTGCACGCCAGCTGCACCTTCAGCAGACCTCCTCATTCCTGCAGCACGAGAGCTTTATGATTGTTTATGAGCGCCAAAAGTGGCGGATCTGTCCGGTGAAATATCTGACTGCGTGTCACCGTATCCCAAAGGACTGTTTGGCGAAATATTTGACTGCATGTCACTGCATAACAAACCACTGACACGATATAACTAGAGAAATCTCCACTGTGCTACTGGATGAGAGCGTATGGCAAGCCGTTTTAACATTTAAACCTTTGTTCTGACTATCCATAAATATATTTAGAGATATCTCTAATTATATTTTGACTAGTCATAATTATAATTCGACTAGTCAGATTGGAGATATCTGCAAATATATTATGACTTACTAGTCATATTCCTCCATTGACTTCCATTGAAAAATATTTGCAGATATCTCTAAATGAGTTTTGACTAGTCACAATTGTAATAGAGATATC